ATTGTACATACGACCCATCTCTAAAGATATTGAAAAAAATTATCTCTTCCTTGCATCGGAATAGTAAGTTTCTGTCTCCAGTAGCTATCTACCTTTATACCTCGATCTTTATAAGATGCAGATCAGACCAAAAATGGAGTAGCTGTCATATTTGGGGAGGACCTCCCCCGTCTTCACTTTCCAGTTTCGATAGAGTCCGCGTCCTTGTGGGTGATGAATTATTTTCCACCCTACAGTCCCTTTCCCACAGACGGAAACATTGCAAGCATCTCATTGCTATATCGCTATTTCCATGGAAAAATTTCAGATGAAATACATTCCTTAGTTCGACAAGCTTTAACCTTCACGTCGAAGACTCGCCATGCCACGCCCACTGTAGCGAACCACCCTCATTCCCTTCGTAATCCATTGGAGAGTTGTAAGTTCCATTGCAGAAGCTTTTTTTTCCCACAAACTGCTGCTTTGTGGAGTCTTCGCCCAAAAGGATGCTTCCGCGATCAATAGAGTTTTGACCTGTTCAAACCTAGCGTCAACTGTTGTCTTCCCCGCATATCCCCATAAACTGTGCCTTTTATTCTATAATCCTCTACCAGGAAGGATTCTTGGGTCTTGAACAAAGTGAACATAATTGTAACCCCCCCCCCCCACAAAAAACCCCCCAAAAAACAATGGCTTTAATCCACTTGGCTATTCCTCGTGAAGAATACCGAATCGTTATGATAATAACAAGTTCGGAGACATTTGTCCTAAAGCAAAGAATATAATGTATTCCTTGTTTTCAATTTATTTTTCTTAGAACTGACAGTTTCAAAATAATTTATCAGACAAAAAACGTATTGTCATTTGATTTTTTTTTATCGTCGAGGGCTGAAGACAGACAGTAAAAGTATTCACATATTTTTTTTTCCGCACGAGAGTAAAAAAAAAATTAAATATAGTGAACGAAAAGGTGATCTTTCTCTCACAAAGTAGAATTTTTATGAATAAAAAGAAAAAAGAATAATGGAAAAACATCGTCATATTGATTTTCATTAGATAAGGTATTAAAAAAGTTTATCTGACTTTAGGCAATAAGCAAACGTCCATTTATGTTAAAGGATGAAGTTGTAACTTGCTCTCTTCCAGTCATCGTGAGGAAATTATTGATGGAGTATTTGATGAGCAATTGAAACCATGAATGCAAACTCAAATTTTTCTTATCTTCTTTCAAGAGAGAAAAGATAAATCCTATAAGATCTCTCATTTATCTCCCCCGCCCACCGATTTATTTGATATCATTAAGCATTGTTCCCATGTGCTGAACGTAATGAGAAACCAAAAAAATTGCTTCAATTTACTAGCACCTATATCTTTTCAGAGTGGGAAAATTGGCCTGCCTCCGGCTGAAGTGAGACTCAGCTGCAGAATTACACCCGATTGTCGTGTGCTAGATCCGAATGGATCGATTTTGTGTAAATTGTCGAACACAACTTTTTTTCCGTTTTTTTTTCCTTTTAATGAATGCTTTTAAAGAAAGCATTGATTAGAATAAATTTGAACACAGCCGAACGATATCAAAAAATGGCTGAGGTTAATGTGCTAGAGAGTTGAAAGTATTTGGTTATTGGTTTGTGATGAGTGTTTAATATGTCATACAAAGTTTTTGGTTTGATTGACGAAATAAAACTTCATATTTACTTTGCAAATGTCTAACCATTAATTAGTGACATACGAATTGTTTTTTTTTTCTGAAATTTATTTGTCTCTCCGCATTCGACAACAACATCGATTTGTCAATCTTGGCATTCTAAGAGTAGTCCATAAATATTGACCGTATCAGAATTTATGAAAAATATAATTCAGATATAAACTTGTACGAGAACTGCTTTTATACGAATTCAGAAATATTTAGCATTCATTATTACAGTGTAACCCGGATATATGAGAGTTGTCGGGACCGGAGAAGAAGTCTCTTATATCCGGATTTCTCTTATATCCTGGTCTCTTATATCCGGGTTACACTGTACTTAAATATTTGTATAAGTGAGAATTTAGTCTTTTCTTTCCTATTCTGTCTTATAACTGATAAAGAGGAGCTGCAACTATAGAAGGCAGCTATTTCTTACTTTCTCATCTGATTCTAATGCGAAATACATATATACTATATTATTTAATGAAACATGTATGAATATATATATATATATATATATATATATATATATATATATATATATATATATATATATATATGTGTGTGTGTGAAAATATATAGAAAATAGGAAGGAACTGGTTAGGTAAGTAATCCAAAGTTCCTTAGTATTTTAGTTATTATTTTTAAAAAATAGTGCTCGATACAAAAGTAGAGCATAAATATAATTATTTATTTAAAATATAATTATTTATTTAAAAATATTAGTGTTTAAGCCTTTTTATTATATATATATATATATATATATATATAATAAAAAGGCTTAAACACTAATATTCCATGGTCATAATTCATCAGACCTACAAATTCAAAAAGAACACAGAAAAGAACAACTCCGTAAATAAAAATAGAATTTGGAGAGAGTGTAAGTATGAGAGTGTGGGACGAATGTTAGTGTTAAAGAGAGGGGTAATAGACGGAGAAGGTGGGAGACTAAAACTTAACAGAGAGGGTTTTTTTCTCACTAGAGGCGAGTGGAAGGGGGAAATATGAATGTTGTCTGATGTCTAATACATTAAAGATACATTTCGTGGTGACATACACACACCATAGACGATCTAATGTTAAAGATCAGAATAAGAGGGAGGGAGAGAAAAGGAAGGACAAGGTGGGGGAGAGAGATGGGGGCGGGGAAAACTAAAATTGAAGGAGCATAATAATTTTGAAAAAAGTTGTTGTGATGCGTTTCATCCGGTAGCGTTTCATTGGACTAGGTTTTGTTGATGCTGCCATGTCTACATATACGCACAGGACGAGAGACAATGGCAGTTTCAACAGTTTTGGAAGAATATGTTCGAAAGCATATTTTTGAAATTATACTTTTTCAGTCTACCCAAATTCATCTGTATTCTTTTGCTCTCCATCACCCTTGTTCTTGAATATCCCACATTGTGACAACAAGAAATCTACCAAGAATGGTGACATATTGTAAGAGCCTTGACGCATATTTACCGTGGCTGAACCAGCGATCAAGTCACATACAAGACATTTTCGTCTTCGGGAATTATTTTCTCTTTTAATCAAAGTAGCATTCCCTATGTCACAATTATGGTCAGTTTCTTCGCAGTGAACAATCAATACCTTTTGTGTGATATAATTTATGCCCGAAAAGAAATATATATATATATATATATATATATATATATATATATATATATATATATATATACAAACACAAGAGAAACTATATAAAAATTTAACCACAGTTCCTTGATAGTCGTTTCCAATGAAAATTGCATTAAAGAGGGATTGCTGCCCAAATACACAATTTTTAAATTACATTTTCCGGTAGAAACACAAAGAAACATAATGTAATGCTTAAAAACACTTTGACCGAACTCGAAGATAATGAAGTACAATGCCATATCAACCTAAGTACTAATAATGAACTTAAACACCGACAGATAATTTCGAAAATATTTGCAACTTATACAAAGGAAATATTCTACTTCTCAACAATAGTAATAAATATATAAACCTATCCAGTAATAAACTAACAGATGACAAGAAGGACTTCTTAAATCTAGGACCAAATTGTAAGCCTAAATTTGACCTCCTTAAAAAGTAAACTGAAATCAAAATCTTGCACCAGTCATTATGCTAGGAGGAAAATGAAAAAAAAAATTAATAAAACTCCATCTAAACCTCAGAGATCTTCTCAAGGCAGAAAGTCTAAAATATCGTACTACAAGCAATAGCCATATTGGCATTCCAAAAAACCCAAAACTACTGGAAAAGAACTTAAAAACAATCCTAATATCATCGTCAGAAGAGCTGATAAATGCAATATTTATGTAATTTTAGACAAATCGGATTATTACAGAAAATTATGGCACTTCATCGATAATCGATTTACAAAACTAAGTAAAAAGGACTACTGGCAATCAATACATAAAAGCAGTTAAAGGTAAAATAAAATCCATCTTCGATAATGGCTAAAAGTATAGCTGAAATCGCTTGGAAAACATTCGGACAATTTCTATGTAATTTATGTCCTAAAAAGAAAAAAAAACATATACAAACGCATGAGAAATTATATTACAAACTCAAACACCACAACTCGTCAGTCGTTTTCAACGAAACCTGTATAAATGAGGGATGCTCCCCAAATGCTATATCTATATATATATATATATATATATATAATTGCCTGGTGAAAAACAATCGAGATAATAAAAAAAAAAACAAGAACAAAATAATAAAATTCATAATAAGATTGATAATACATATTGCCTTTTAATAAGGCTTTTTGACCAAATAGAAGAATAATGATAAAGATTTTACAAACCGGAATTTTTGGACACGACTGCGTCCTTTACCAAATAGACGAGAAATGAAAAATGAAGTGGGACTTTCTTTTCTGAGGAATCTTTTTTTGTCACATGCGTTATATTACCGAAGAGATATGATAATTTCGGGATAGACGCTTGTCTCGATCATTAGTGCCCATGAGTACATAATAGTGTGTGACAGAGGGATGAAACATTCCATTTTCTGATGTTTTTGGTGTGACTTGAGTATCAGGAATACCTAATGGAATGCATTAGCGCCCATTGTGAACAGCGCAGTCGTCGACCACGAATCTTTAATGGATGTGATCAGAGCTGTCTTGCTAAAATTCTATGTGGTAGGAGACAAGTGACAATATTTCATATAATACTTCATAAGAAGTATCAGATGTATATTGAGTAGTTTATTTCAGCGTCCATTAGAATTCTATGATATAGGTGGGTAGAAAACCCACGATGACAGCAGACACAACGCTTGATTAAGTTTCTTGATATCTAATTGAACCCTTAAAGATAAGCATCAGATGCTGCGGTCTTACACATTGCGGTTGGCCCGCAGTTGCCGACAAGGCCCCGTTCTGTCATGTACTGGTTCTAATAGGGCACACAATATTGATCCATATCTACGCATCCACTTCTCCCGCCAAAATATGTTTATGTTATCCCAGCAGTAAAATGGACCATTCGATTGGGCCTGATTTGCGCAAGATCTATTTGAGGATTACGTTGAGCGAGACCGACTTGAAGGTCGGGATCAATTAAATAAAATATTAAATAAATTTAAATTTAAATTTATATTAAATAAAATTTGGCAGCATTCTCCTCCTCACATTAGTAGCCTTACCTAACATTGTGGCTTTGATATTCATTTGCGAAAACATTTAGCCATTGATGCCCAGATTGTTGTGCGAAATGAGTCTGCCAAATGTTCAATCTCTCTTAACGATTGTAAAACACTCACAGTCTTCGGGAGACACATGGATGTTCATAGAATTTAAGCACGTCTTTATTTTACCTAGCCCGCACCTGTTATCAGCGACATCACGTGCATTTGCCTTCTCTAGTAAAGTTCTTATGTATAATTCTTGTGTGTTTATGTAATGTGCGTTTGCTCGTCTATTGAACAATTTATTTCTTCCTTGTGATGGGCATATATTGATCGGATGATTGGAAGATATTTTGAGGATATATATATATATATATATATATATATATATATATATATATATGAAGAACTTTTATGAAATAACTCCGAAATGGTATGTCTATTCAACTTTTTATTGCATCTTTGCGATTTCTGAATAAGATTTTGTACATTGGAATTAAACGTATTAATAAATTGTCCAAAGTTCATGTTTTTCCTGTTATATTAGAATACTTTTGGCTATCACCCTAATTTTCATCAAATAGGTGGTAGCAGTAATGGTAAGGAAGATTACCGCTTTGTGAGGCTGACCTTGAGAGTCTGAGAGAATAGAAAACATACTATGAACACCTAAATTGCAGTCTATAGGATATGCGTCGTCAGAGTGCTGTTCTACGGTAGCGAGACTTGGAATCTTTACTCCAGACAGAGGAGACGCCTCAGTGCCTTTCATTTTACCTGTTTGAGATTCGTTCTGGGTATCAGTTGATCTGACAGTGTCAGCAATGTCATAGTTCTCACCCGTACCCACTTATACAACCTATACGCCCTTCTCAAACAGCGCCGGCTACACTGACTTGGACATGTGCACCGTATGTCGGATGGGAGGATTCCAAAAGTCCTTCTTTATGGGAAACAGACCACGGGCAAGGCGGCACGAGAACGACCACATCTTCGCTTCAAGGGCATCTGCAAAAGGAAGTCGATTGTCTTGGATATTGATAAGTGGGAAGACGTCGCGAACGATCGCTGACGCTGAAGATGCTATTTACACGGAGGGCTCGAGCGAAAAGGGGAAAAACGAAGGCTTGCTGCCGGGAAGTAGCGGAAAGAAAACAACAAGTCTACATCAGGGGAGAGCGTCTTCACATGCCTTCGTTGCAATCGTGACTGACTCATCCCGCTTGGGCTTGTACCACCATAACAGTTGCTGCACCGCTATCAACAGATGAAACATAACTCTTTGGGCACAGATCCAAGGTTTTTCGAGACCGAAGGATACCTCACGTAAGAAAAATTGATTTGGCTAAATTGCAATGTTTTTACTTTGCTGGAATCCTTAAATTCAGTGTAAAACGAATCTACAACTATCGAACGAAAAAGAGTTATTTAGTGTTTGAACGTAGATCGCCAGTGAGCAAACACAGGCGACCCTATTATTGAATTAAGTAGACCACGTGATCATAGAGGAAACGCATATATGGGAGGTAGCGTGTGTCTAATTGATCTGCATTTCTAACCTATCCTCTATTACTATTCGTATCGGTATTTCTCCTCTATCCTCTATTACCACACGGACCGCTATTCACTATTCTCTTCTCTACACTATTCTCTATTCGGATCAATTATCGAGCAAGTACTATTAATGCGAGTGGTATTCAAAGGCGTCTGACACCAGCAGTGTTAAACGGCGTACTATAGTTGTATTTGCGATTACAAAGTCTCTACTACAACGAGCATTACGTAAGTGACAACGAGCATTACGTAAGTGACAACGAGTATTCGATGACATTACAAAAGTGGCAACGAATGTTCATTGACATCACAAAAAAAGCATGTATCGAACATTTATAAGATTAAATTATTTTATACACATTTCGGTATACCGTTTCTTATAGAGAAAGATATTTTACTTAATTTTAGTTAGATCTTTTGTATTATTTTTGATTTTATGCAATAAAACTTACCTTGCGCCAATTATAGTTTGGTCACTTATTATATACTGATCGATATATGCATGGATTACATAAAATGTCGTAATAAAACAACCTCGGAAGGGTGTGATGATGTATGGCCAATGTATAAATTTGATGATGTTTATTGATTATGAGTATCGGAGATACAATCCCTCAAAGCACATGAGAATTCATTAACAGAATTATTCTTACATTGAGTCAGTTTTTGAGGTATTGATTCATTGGTAATAATTACATAATATATATATATATATATATATATATATATATATATATATATATATATATATGGTTTGATTTGTTTTACGGCATATTAACCTCAATGGGTTATTTAATGCTGAATACATTTTTTCCTGGTAATATTTTGTTTTGTCAAAAATCTATTTCTGGTAATATGCTTTTTTCAAATACGAATTGCTGGTAATTTTTTTAAAAGTATTTTGGCATTAAAACCTATTTTTACACTTTCATAACGCCTTTTACCTCAGTTTAAGTTTTAGCTATTTGCCCATAGCTGGGACCCTAACAGGTTCTACCACCCCGAGTCAAGGTGGACCTGGGAACACCAGCAATTAAGAGATGGTTCTACTCTCCTCAAAGCCTCCTGATCAGAGGCCTTGCTTTTGGACGAAGTTTATCGTCTTACCATGGATGCGACGGGATGTAGTTTATCGTCATACCAAGGACGATATATATATATATATATATATATATATATACGTGAGTAGGTAAGATAATATTTGCAATTGTGTATACGCCTATTCAGAGACAAATAATCAGTAATTATCGAAATATTGTTGTTTTAGTGAAAAGCAGTCGTAATATTTAGAGAATTTTTCTTTTCTATTTTCATGTGTAAATAATACTAACGCTTCAGATGTAATTGAATTGTGGCGTGTTGTCTAATATTAAAATCCGTTAACAGTGATTTCCTTCCTAAATTTGAATTTATTCAACCAACATAATGTTTACTTGTTCCGAGGCTTACAAATTATAACTATTCAAAGAAAAGAAGTTTTTGCTTTTCACACTCAGACGATAGTCTTCGTCTTTTTTGTTGTTGTTATTACAACTTATCAGTCTTTTTTCCCTCTTGCTGATTCAGATAATTTTATTTTTATTATGGGGAATAGAATCTTTTCCGTTCTCTCTTTTGTCATGGGATTTCCCGCTTTGTTCCAATTTATTTCTGCTAAGTTATAGCTCACGTTTATTTCCACTGGGACAAGGTCTATGCAACTCAAAATTATCATTAGTTTATGTGTCGTCTCTCTTCATGTCGTATCCTGTTCATTGTAGCTCTTAATATGTTTTCTCTTTTTAAAAAAAATTCTCCTAAATCCTGTTCTACCATGCATTTACTCAAGTTCGTCATGTAAGTTACACAAAGCTTTACTCTGGCCGTCTTGTTCTAGAATCTGTTCTGTGAGTGTCCGGTTTCCGAAGATCTCCTTCCTCATGACGTGTCCCAGAAATTGATGTTTCCTTTTTCTTACCATTTTTCCTAAACCTCGTCATTGTTTGGTCTATGTCATCCTGAGCATCTTTCTGTAGAACTACATTTCTGTTGCTTCAAGTCTCGCCTTCATCCTTGACCAGATTTTCCTGAATTCGCTGCTATACAGAAGGACAGATATCACGCAACGTTTCTGTGTACTTTTCGTTGTTTCTAACGAAATGATTTTGTCTCTTAATACTCAGTTATTATTAATGCATTTTTGTCCATCCCAACACGTCTTCGTATCTCGGCCTCACACTTCCCGTCCTCTGTTAGAACAATTCCCAGATATTTAAGTTTTGTACTTTTATTGTCTCTCATTTGAAATTTGAATTTTGGGCACATCCACTATCAGCAAATTCTTGGGTCAACGCTTTCATTTACGAGGCTATTGTCTCGTGCGAAAAAAAAATTTAAACCTAGTAATTAGAGCCATAAATTTCTATAACAAGCTGGTGACAGAGTTGTTGCTGCACTCAGGCTTGATTGAATTCACTAAGACTTCGCTTTTCATATTGCTGCTGCTGTTGATGTTTTTGCTGCCAGATCTTATTCTTTATTTATTTTATTGTATTTATTTCTATTTTATGCCTGCCTACGACGGTCAAAGCGCGTAACATATGCGAAAAATTGAATACGATTGTCAGGATATAATAATCTCCTAATCCCATAAATTCCGAGAGAAAGCCAGCCTTTTTAGTTTGTACACCCACGAATTGCATTAAGCACTTTTTAACTTACCCCAACGAATATATATATATATATATGAAAAAAATATATACGGAAAAAAACAAACAAAAGTCCTTATATACAATTATGCTGTTTTAATGTTAATATGTTATAAAGTGAATTTAGGTTTGTATTTCCAGTAGACAGTATGTAAGCAAATATATGGATATAGATCCGACAATAGAAAAAGAAGTAGTCAACTATTAGAAGTGAGTCAAGTGAATTCCACAATGAATCTCTAACTGCAGGATAACTACTAACCACCCCACGCGGTCAGATGTGACACAAGGCCTAATTTAATGTGGGGTATCAGAGCCCGTAGGCTCGACCATAAATTCCCCCTAGACTCCGTATAAAACAGTGTTCGGTAGCTGTTTCCCGAGACGAGACTCTGCACCTCGACATCATGTCATTTGGGGATTCTCTCTGCTCAGAGGCAGAGAGTTTGAACATTACAGCTGGAGACGAATTTCTGACAGCATACTATCTATCAACCGCTCCACATGTGATACAGGGCCGAATTTAATGTGGGGTCTCCGAGGCCGTAGTCTGGGCCAAAGTTTTCCCGTATAAAACGCTGTAGGGAAGCTGTTTCCCGAGACGAGACTCTGCCCTTCGACATTGCATTATCTGGGGATCCTATCTGCTCGGAGGCAGAGATTTTGACCAGCACTGCAGGAGACAAATCTCCAACTGCAAACCTACTTGCAGTACTTACTACTGTATTTATGTTAATGAGGACATATCCATTATTGTCTGTAGGTATGCTACAACAATATATATATATATATATATATATATATATAGTGATAAAATTTAGGCTTATGATTTATATATAGGTTAAAAGATCTGAAGATTGCATTCAAACATAAAACTGAATATCACCTCTCTCCGGGTTGGCTAAACTTTCCACACTTTTTATAGTTACACCTGCTCTGTCTTGTTTTTGTCTCTGGTCAGGTATGAAGATTGCTTTCAACCATGACACAGACTGTCGCTATTCGGTGTTGACTTCATATGTGAGTGTCAATAAACACTTCTTTATGTAGAAGAGTAACTGTGAATAGTAATATTTCAGTTTCAATTTAATTTAGATGAATTGAAAGTCATAAGCTTACATTATTTTTTTGTTGTCGGCATTAGATACATCCATCCAGACGGACAAAGGCAGGAAATAGAATCAGGTCTAAGTCATAAAAGAAAGAAAAAGTCATTTCCATTATGATCAGGTGTCTTGTATTGAGCCACAACACTGCAGCATTCTTAATTAACTTTGATCATAGAAAAGTTTTGTCGAGAGGATGAAGCATGTAAAAATGATGAAATCAAAACTGAAGATCAGTCAATAAAACTATTCAAGTGAGTCAGTGCATGAATGGCTGACCTGATGGTATCATTTCAAAGATACTTTTAATTACATATTTTTTCTCTTCATTGACTCCCAGGGGGTTGAACAGATCACGAACAGGCCAACCTTTACATTTTATCAAAACTAGATTTCTATCTATCTATCTATCTATCTATCTATCCTAACATGTTCCTATCTATCTATCTATCTATCCTAACATGTTCCTATCTATCTATCTATCTATCCTAACATGTTCCTATCTATCTATCTATCTATCTATCTATCTATATATATATATATATATATATATATATATATATATATTTATCAGTCATATCTATCTCAGATTGTTCATATCTAACCCAGTCACTACATATCTGTGGAACCCTGTTGCTTTCCTTCCTTCCTTCCTTCCTTCCTTCCTTCCTTCCTTCCTTCCTTCCTTCCTTCTATCTATCTATCTATCTATATATATATATATATTTATCAGTCATATCTATCTCAGATTGTTCATATCTAACAAAGTCACTACGTATCTGTGGAACCCTGTTGCTTTCCTTCCTTCCTTCCTTCCTTCCTTCCATCTATCTATCTATCTATCTATCTATCTATCTATCTATATATCTATCTCTATATATATATATTTATCAGTCATATCTATCTCAGATTGTTCATATCTAACAAAGTCACTACGTATCTGTGGAACCCTGTTGCTTTCCTTCCTTCCTTCCTTCATTCCTTCCTTCCTTCCTTCTATCTATCTATCTATCTATCTATCTATCTATCTATCTATCTATCTATCTATATATATATATATCTAGCTATCTAGCTATCAAAAACATAAAAGATTAATATTGCTAATAATACGATTACTTACGTTTTTCTTTCTTTGACGAAAAAAAAAAACGATTTCTTCTTGAAACTTGCGAGCCATTTTTCAATCAAACCAAAAGTTACTCCGTGCGTGCAACAACTTTTAATAAGAAAGCTGCTGCGTTATCCACAGTCGTGGGAGGCACCATGTAAATATATTACAATTCTAGGAGACGCACGCACGCACACACACACACACACACACACACACACACACACACACACACACACACATATATATATATATATATATATATATATATATATATATATATATATATAGGATTAGCTTCTATTAGTTCAATAAGGAATTTTGACGAGATTTTTTTTCGAATGGATACAGATAAGAAAGCTTAAGAATTATCCTATTTGGTGTCTTATCGTAGAAATCACGTTGCTTCTTTTATTCTTCAATATTCTCACAAAATAGCTGTTAAAAATATTAATTTTGATGTGAAGCGTAAAGAAGTTTAGTTTAGTTCACGTTAATTTTGGTATTGCTGGACATAAAATGAATTCTTTTATTTTTGCATATACATTGAACTCGGTAATTACCCAAGTCCTCCTCACAAGTATGGGTTTGACACAATGTTGATTTTTAATGTGATGTTTTCCGAGCGCGCACTCTCGGGCGAAAATTGCCCGTAGACCTTCTACAGTTCATAATAATTTTAAGCTCTTTGTTGGAAAGATCAGAGTACCCCTTGGAAAATTGCAAATCCTAAAGAGATCCCTGGAAAAAGTTGGGTAATAATCCAGTATATCAAACTAGCTAAACGAACAACTGCTTTAATCGTTTTTATCATATATCAGAATCTTAACATTATTATGAACTGTACAAGATCTGTTCTTATGCATAACAAAGAACAGTGGATTCAGAAGAACTCTGTTGACCGATTCGATATTTCAATGGGATCTTTAGACTCTGCTGAGTCTTCCGATCTTGTTGGTTTATTTATCTTATATAATCTTAGTGCACACCAACATATCAACATTGATAATACAGGATTATCTAGAGATGATGGTCTTATGGTGGTGAAAAATACTACAAAATTTAAAGCTGACAAAAATTAAGGAAATTAATACATAGAAAATTTAAAAGTCTCAAACTTAAAGTAAATACCAATACTAATTTAAAAAAAAAATAGATTTCTTTGATTTTACATTAGACCTAATTAATAATGTATTCCAACGCTACATGATAAACACCAATCCAATTTCTAACCACCCTGCATCCGTAATCAAACACATATCCTCTTCCATAGAATATAGGTGTAGCAATAACTTTTCCAGTGAATATATCATTTACAAACATAGTAAACTTTAGAGCACTGCCTTAAAAATAGTGGTTATAAGTGCCCCGGCATCAAATATATAAAACATGACAACAGCGATAATAGAAATAAAAATAGAAGCAGAAAAATCATTTGGTACATACCCCCATTTAACCAAATAGTTAGTACTAAGTTATGGCAGAAATTTCTGCATTTAATTGAGAAACGCTTTCCCAAAAATAATCCACGCAGTAAGATTATTAATAGAAATACTCTAAAACTAAGTTATAGCTGTACCGATAATCTGGAAAAACTTATTAAAAAACATGATAATAAAAATTTAAATCAATACAAAAACCTAAGTAATAAGTGCCATTACAAATCAACAAACCCAGATAATACCAACAAGTGTAACTATAGAAATTATAACGAATATCCATTACAAAACAAATGTCAAAGAGATTCTCTTGTTTATCTAAGCACTATTTCTAGTATAGAAAATCCCAGAAAAATATTTTATATCGGAGTACTAAGAATTCCTTTAAAACTAGGTGGGACCAACATATATTATCTTTTTCTAATAACGCGTACAGAAATGGGACGTATTTTTCTAAATATTTTTGGAACTTAAGTTTAAGAGGTAAATAAAACCCCTACGGTAAAATGGAAAATATTAAAAAAAGCTAGGACTTGTAAATCTTTAAATGATCAGTGCTTCTTACGTTTACGAGAAAAAATAGAGTTAATCAAATTTCCTGACAAAAAAGCTCAATTGAACTAGAGGAGGGAATTAACTGTAAATTGCCGACACGGTTTATCTTTTACCTTAAAATATAGTTAAATTTTCAAAATTACGTATTACCATTTCTTATAGCCATAATTTATGAGTATATAATGGTCTATCCTCTACGGCTAAGTAGCTTAGTTTGTTTATTCAGCTTTAATTTTGCTATGTACTGCCGTCCAGTTATTATTATTATTAATAATATCTTATATAGATGTTCCACATTTTAATTTTATCTACAGGTCCCTTTAAGAAACTTCCTGAATATAAAAAATATCTTTTCTGTTAAGTTTACGTCTGATCAACCTATCCCTCCCTTCAACATCATTTCAAACAATTCAACATGCCATATTTGTCTATAACCAAGCTCCATTTATCGCTGCCATATTTTCCGCAATCTCCAACGATGGACTATGTTCCAGTTTATAACGACAAGAAAAATAACTGACCCACCTCAACACTCTGAACATAGATATTATTATTTAGCGTAGATCTGAAAATTAAGTGGTTAATGAGGACATACAAAATTTAATTTTAATTCTGACCTTAAGAAGTACAATCAAAGTATTGCAACATGAAAGCTTTTGTGTAGCGATTTCAGTGTGTTTTTATTATAATCTTTTATAACATATATATATATATATATATATATATATATATATATATATATATATATATATATATATATATATATATATAGAGAGAGAGAGACAGAGAGAGATTAATTTGGAGAAGTTTATCAGTTAAATGAGTAGTGTTGGTTCAGTCACACTATCTTGATGTGCTCACGAAATTATGTAGTAGCCATGACTGAACCAACACCACTCAGCTAAGTGATACACTTCTCCAAATTAATTGTATCGACGCTCTATCCTAACGTTTCATATCGATCGCTTTATGACAAAAATCTGTCTGCCCAAAAGGCTTTTCCAATCGTAAAAAACACCAAATGAGTTACTTAATAATAATAATGAATATATATATATATATATATATATATATATATATATATATATATATATATATAAAAAAAGCCCCATTCTATGTTCATAATGTTAACACATATAGAAACTGAGTCAGTATGGGAAACACATTAAGTTCTGCGTTCTCTTAATTTTATGTCACATGTTGAAAACAAAATTTTCCAAAAGTAGACAAACCACAAATCTACACAAGGTACATTGACGAAATTATAAATCTTAAATCAACTTTTAAAAAACTACGCACTAAAATTTACATACGAACTAATCATGGATAACAAAATTCCATTACTTGACGTTGATATAGAAATAGAATTCAAAGTATTTAATACTTATCCGTATATTAAAAAAACAACACTATTAACTCTTGTATTCTGAACTACGATAGTTAATGCCAGGAATGATATAAAATAGCAGTAATACAAAATAATAAAAAAAAACAAATTCCTAAAAAAAGAATATTTTGAGTAAACTCAAACACAAAACAAACATAAGTTAACAATAATTTTCCCAACTACATCATGGATAAACAAATAAAATTATTCTTGCAAAAAATACGTGACACCAGTAGTAAAAATATTATACAAGGAAACATCAACATATTTTATGTAAGCAGATACACGATAATTGCAAGCAGAACGAAGTATTCATGCGATGAATCATTAAAAAAAACATATTTCAGCTGTAAACCCCGGCAAACGGGTAAAACTTATAATATATTATAGAAAATGGAAAACCTTCAACCTCGTTGTCGCTCATCAAAGTCACCTTGTTATATCTAGACTAGCGGTGACCAATAACGGGTAGAGAGACAGCCAACCCTCGGTACTATTGTAAATAGAATCTTCGTTATGAGAGGAACATCAGCTCATAGGAAGGCGAGTGGCAAAATGAGTCGTAAAGTGTGTCGCACTAAGTAGGTTATTCGCTATTATTACATTATTAATACATGTGATTAATACATGTGATTAACCTAATCTTTTGTTCCATTCAATTAAAAGTAAAATGTATTCAGTTAAAATGAAAAAATAAAATTCATCCTTGATAATGGGTAAAAGAATTGCCGAAAGTCTTCCCAAAAAATTTGGACAACTTCTATGTAATTTACGTCCAGAAAAGAAGAAAATTTGAATAAACATAACAGCAGTTCCAGTACGCTTTTTATGTAATTTTTATAAATATATATGTGAATTGGCCAAATAAACAATCATATATATATATATATATATATATATATATATATATATATATTAAAGACATTGTTTATCTTTATAAGTTCTATGAAAAGAACGTATAAACATAAAAAATGTCATTATATATATATATATATATATATATATATATATAAAAGGCTACCACTGCTTTCGGCAAATTTCGCCATCGCTTGTGGAATGAGCGGGGTATTCGACTGGATACGAAAATTCGGGTTTACAGAGCTGTTGTACTTGTCATTCTTTGTATGGCTCAGAGTCGTGGACTCCATACAGGTACCATATACGCCAGATAGATGTTTTCCATAAAAGCTGTCTGCATGCAATCTGTGGAGTTAAGCTTCAAGGTAGGACATCTAACGTAGACCTGTATAACAGGTGTAATATTGGAGGAATCGAGATTTTTATCATACAGTCTCAGTTACGGTGGACTGGTAATGTCTTGAGAATGTCTGATGACAGGACAACCAAGATCCTAATGTACAGCCAGTTAGATCAGGGCTACAGGAATGTAGTACGCCCATGGCTAGGATACAAATACGAGCTGAAAAGCAACTTGTCAGCAGCTAATATACCACATAACACCCTTGAGCGCTTAGCTTTGGAGCGGGTAGAATGGAGATCAATGTGTTTTAGTGGACACAGCAATTTTCAATCTGCTTGTCTGACTCATCTTCAAGAAGCGAGAGCAAGATATAA